AGTTAGTATTAGTCACGCTAGGAGATTTATTTGTCGTGAGATATTTAGTTTAGGTCATTTAGATTGTTAGATTAGTTTTTTATATTTTGTCAAGTCTTGCGATGCAAGACATTTGGTTACCTTGAGACTAGATTTAGTTTTTTCTATAAATACCTATGGACTCATTCAACTTTAAACAAACAATGAATTAATGAATAATCGACTTTTGGTCACCAATATCTTGTGTTAGAATTCTTTTGAGTTTTAGTACAAAATCCTTGTGTCGAACTGGGCATTTCACCAAATAGTTCGTCATAAGCTCGAGTTTGGCAAGGAATCACGTCCGAGTTGTTTCACTTATCGTGAGAAGATAAGAAAAAATATGAATCGCCCACACCTATCGCCGAGAAGGAAGCCGTGGCAAAGCAACTTTCGAAGCAAGTCGAGTTGAGCGAATACACGATCTTCATCACGTGCGCCGGCAGCACTCCAGCACCCCTAGCAACCGCGCCAGCACCAGCGCTAGCGCCAGCAGGCCCTGCGCGGTCAAGCCCGGGCAGCAGAGCCACCCACGACTGACAGGCTCACGGCGAGCTGCCGGTCTAGCAAGCTAATCGGTCCGGTTCAACTGGGTGGTTCAAGATGTTTGGCTCGAATTTTCCAGTCCGCGTATGTTTTGAAGAATTTCAGTATATTTCCGAGCCAAATCAGTCAGTTAGAGAATATGTAACGCCCCACTTTTATTTGACGGAATTCAGAATAAATTTTTCCAAATTTATTTCATAAAACTTTGGCGGCGCTACTATTTGAAAAACCATTTTCAATGACATTATAAATGCAACTCCCAAAACGGGTTCCAAAAATCAGATCAACACCCAAACCAGGTTCACCAATAACATCAATCTCCCAAAACTGGGTTTTCTCAAATACATAAATATTCCTTATCAATAATCTGAAAATCAACATTAATTAGAATGCATAAACGATGCTAGGCAGTTCAAAGCAACGGAAATAAATTCAGTAACGTGACCACAACTCGCCTCCTCTTGTCGTGTCAGCGAGTACTAACATGCATCCATGAAGAGCAGATGGGAATGAACATAATTAAATAATCGAGGTGCTCACCACTATGCGATAATCAATGTTCAATAATCATAAACAGTAAAAATATGGTCGCTGTATGAACATAAAATATTTAATATCGCATCTCCTATCCCAGAGTCAACTCTCATGTGCACACATATACCAATAGACTACTGAACTGATACACGTATCGAAATGCACCTCGGGTCTTATAATCGATGCCCAGACAGCAGGAGTAAATCCACCCCGAATGCCAAAACTCACGCCTTGGCCTTACATACGAGGATCACCAGCCAAGGCTCACGTCCTGACTGCCATACATAAATAAAGAAGATTACCCGAAGGTACGTTCTATATCTACAGGAATAACCCTTTGACGGCCGGTACAACTCACATCGGAGGCTACATGGTCCATACGCACACTTTGATCATACCACAACAAAAGCAATTAATTAAAGCATAGCAATTTTATAAATAAACCCACCTGGTGCCGGATGATAAAACAAGATAACCAGAAAGTGGTAGGTGGTTGAGACACTACTTGTCAGACACCTACATAATTCAAGTCCCATAAGCAACTATCTCGACTCTTACACAGATAACGAGAATTATACTTAGTCGAATCACATCGACTAAGAAACTCGTGGATGTTGTGGAGTTGGAACATTAGGACGACTCGTAAACTTGACCAACCAATTAATAAATCATATGCAAGTAGGTAACGAAAGTTTGACATGAAAACGGGGTCAAAAGGTAATAGACTTGCCAACAAAACCATCTGGGGTCAAAACGGTTAAAAAGGCTAGTTCGAATTTTATAAGAATAGGGCTATAAGGAGTTAGACTTGGACTTGCCAATTAAAATTTTTACACCATATAAGAGACTGAAAAACACACAATTTCACTAAAGGATAACCCCTACACATGCTCCTAACCATTTTAAATAATTTAAAAAAATCTGACCAAAAATCAAATTAAATCATTTAAAATAGCTACAGTCCAACTTGAACTCGATTTTATATGAATTTATTACAAAACGGCCCAGAAACGGTTTTCCAAATTTGACAAGGCTACAGGCCACAATAAATTCTCAAATTTTTATCACAGGTAACCCAACAGCAACATGACCACATATCCAAAAATGAAAATTTTTGAAGCAATAAGCGATTTTATAGTGATTTTAGCAAAAACGGGCTGCAGCACGATCTTCAAAAATTTATAACTCACATTATACACATCGAATCGACGCAAGGCCAAAGCCAGTGCATCAAGGACATTCCTAAGTCCGACAATCCACATCATTTCCATGGAAAATACCACATAACCTCAGTCCGACAATTTTTCAAAGTGACGACAATCCCTTTGATATCAGAATGACAATTATATATCCAAATTTCACACGAATGCTTTATTACGGCACATAATCATTCGGAAAGCACACGATCAACAACACCAATACATATACGAGCAATTATCATATATCAGGAAAATAAACGAGACGAGGTTCGAGCGCAAGTACCGTTCTGGAGAAACGATCGAAAACAAACGGAACGAAAAGGGACGAAAGGTACAATCGGTAGGCTTGAAGGCTTTGCCTCGTCTCGCCGGGAATAGAGTGCAGCATCGGTTGAGCACGGAAAACTCGTTAGCAGGTGCCGAACTTCGCCGGAGGGCTCGCGGCTGTGATCGATGGGGCTCGCGGGACATCAGCGACGGGACTTCGCGGAGATGCTGCAACATTGAGGGACTCGCCGGGAACTGCAGCGACGGGAATGGCTCTCTCGAAGGTGAACAGAGCACGCCGGGATGATCGCAAGTAGGTTGACGTCCGGGGTGTTGCAACTCGCCGAAATTTCACGAGGAAGAAGACGGGACAGCCCGCGGGGTTGATCCATCGCAGCATGGCGGA